AGAATGGCTCAATTCTCTATCCCTTTACTTCTCTCATAAATAAATAAGTCTTAAAGAAAATTCAGGAGCAACCGCTTGACGAGGGTTGCGGAGGACTAGGGAGGGAGGGAGAGATAGAAGTCTTCCATCCACTGCTCCATTCCCCAAATGACCACAACAGCCAGGGCTAGGCCAAGCTGAAGCCAGGAGCCAGGAGCTGCATCTAGGTCTCCCATGTGGGTGTAGGGGCACAAGGACTTAGACCATCTTCTGCTGCTTTCCCAGGTGCATTAGCAAGGAGCTGTATTGGAAGTGGAGCAGCTATGACTCAAACTGGCACCTGTATAGGATGCCACATTGCAGGCAGCAGTTTAATCAGTTAATGCCACAGTGCTGGCCCCTTGAATGTTATTTTTTTTTTTAGTCAGTCAATTTGGGGAATGGTGTGGGAGGAGGAAAGAGGTTGATAAAATAATATTGATGCAGTTTTGTTTCAGGGGTGTATATTGGAAATTACTTGACAGTTCAATTGTAAAGCCTACAAAATTACACTTGTGTAATAGTCTAGCCATGGTATTTCCTTCAGTTGCATTCTTTGAAAAAAATTTTATATGGAAAGCAAAGTCAACTATAATAAAAAATAAAGTTAGGCTGTTCAGAAATTTCTGTAAATATATATTTTTTCAAGATTTATTTATTTGAAAGGCAGAGTTACAGAGAGGTAGAGGCAGAGAGAGAGAGAGATCTTCCATCTGCTAGTTCACTCCCCAAATGGCCATGATGGCTGCTGCTGGGCCGATCCATAGCCAGGATCCAGGAGCTTCCTCCAAGTCTCCCACGCAGGTACAGGGTCCCAAGCACTTGGGCCATCTTCTACTGCTTTCCCAGGCCATAGCAGAGAGTTGGATTGGAAGTGGAGCAGTGAAGTCTCAAACCAGCTCCTATATGGGATGCCACACTGCAGACGGTGGCTTTACCCACTATGCCACAGCACCAGCCCCAAATTTTTGTGAATATTTAATAAAAATTCAGCCTTATGAATGGAGGGAGGAAACTTTGAGTTTTGAGTATGTATTTTTTTTTTGACAGGCAGAGTTAGACAGTGAGAGAGAGAGGGAGACAGAGAGAAAGGTCTTCCTTTTTCCGTTGGTTCACTCCCCAAGTGGCCGCTATGGCTGGTGTGTTGCGGCCGGCGCACTGCGCCAGTCCAAAGCCAGGAGCCAGGTGTTTCCTCCTGGTCTCCCATACGGGTGCAGGGCCCAAGCACTTGGGCCATCCTCCACTGCACTCCCGGGCCACAGCAGAGAGCTGGCCTGGAAGAGGAGCAACCGGGACTAGAACCTGGTGTCCCAACCGGGACTAGAACCCAGGGTGCAGGCGCCGCAGGCAGAGGATTAGCCTAGTGATCTGTGGAGCTGGCCGAGTATATATTTTCATGAATAAAAAAAAAATTTGGAGTTTTTTCCTCTCTTGGAGCCCTCCTCCATGCCACTCTGGCTGGAGGTCCCTGACTTTTAAATCTTGCTTTTTAACCTTTAAATCTTTCTTTTCTCTTTGCCTTGTCCACTTGGAAACTTTTCTTCCATGTGAGACAAAGAACCAAGGTAATAACATTTTCTCTGCTGCATATTTCACCTGTAACATTTTGGTGCCGTGGCTTGAATAGCAGCTCCAACCTGAAGCGGATTCCACTCGAGTTTGATCCCAGCCAGCGTCGGATTATCTCGCCGGATGGGTGAGCGTGCAAACTGTTCTCACTTTTTTCAGAGAGTTTCACTGTCCTCCATAGCAACTCTCATTTTTCTCAAAAGCACCGTGTCCCTGTCAGCCAGTTAAAAAGCATTAGTGGGGCTGCCAGCCTTAGGCCAGAGCAATCCCCTGGAGCTGAGAGACTGTTCTATTCTCTCTCTTCTTTGGTATGGATTGGCTCTTCGTGATGGAACTGGGAAGAGAACTTAAGATGCCTAAAGGACTCTGGCCAGGGCACTCCCTGGTGTGTTCTGAAAATTTCTTGGCCAGACCCCAGTCCCTGACAAGCCGGTGTGGGCATTGGGCTGTGAAACACATTCCCTCCCTCTTGTGTGGAACTAAGAGAAGACCTTGAGACAACTGATGCATTCTGGCTGGGGCAACACTCCAGTGCTTCCAGAAGGTCTCTTGGCTGGACACCAGACCCCGACAGCAGAAATGGTGTTGGTCTGGGAATGCGCTTTCCTGCAGGGAGCTGTAAAGCCAGAGTCTACTCTTCATACTTCTCATCTCAGCTCTGGTCTGACTCAGCTTCCTTTTGTGGGTATCGGCCTGTCATGCAGGACTGGGAGAAGGGCTTGGAGTCACCTTGAAATTCAGGCCAGGGCCACTCTCTGGCATTTTTCAAGGACTCCCTGACTGGACAGCAGACCCCAAAAGCCTATTAGTGTGTTGGCGAAAAACTGCATTCTTTTCTTCCTTCCTCAAAGATTAATTTGTCAACGAGACTGGGCACAGCCTGGAGCAAGGCCATGGGCTCTGGGCTCCATGCCTCAATGAGTTTTTCCTTTATCCCAGATCCTGACAGAATCTCCACTCTCTCTGCTCCTCTAAATTCATTTTATACCTCACCGGGTCTCCTCAATTCCTACAAACTCAGATTCTTAGTCTCATTAGCAGGTATTTTCTAGATATTTCATTCTTTAGCTCTGGGATAAAATTTAATTTTCTCGTTTGCAGACAGGTAGCTTTTGATCTAGACCCCCATTAAGTCCTCATGTGACCTGAACTTGTGTAGACATGTCTCAGTATGTCTGTGGTGTCCCCTGCCTTCCTTCTGGGGTAGGATGGAGAAGTTAGCCCAAGTGAGTTATGAAAAGTGCTAGCCCCTCTACTCCAACTCCACATCTCGGAACTCTGTCTCCTAACTGGCCTCTTGCCTCGGTTTCCCTGCATATGCTACAATATGCATTAAATTCTTTTCCAGAGTCTCATAGCGCCCTTGGGTCAATTTAGTGAGCCACCAGGATCCCTCTGTTATCATGTTTGACTATTTTTGAGGCTTTTATTCCCAGCAGAGGAGACCATTTTTATCAGGTGACCATTGCCCTCATTGTTGTAATTTTGCCTAGGGGTTTCTAGGCAAGAATCTAGGCCCAATAACCTCAGATGCTATTGAATATATATGGATGAATCCATATGATGAAGTTTTGGACTTCGTGAGATAGCTCCTGAGCTCGCTCTTCATCCCTGAGGCTGATTTGACTGAGAGTGAGCCCCACAATTAGACACTTCCAGTATTGGCTTTTGGTCTAGGGTATAAGGTTATTGTCTCTTTGCAGGGCCTCCCATTTTTTCGTTAAGCCTGCCTCTTCACAGACTCTTACAGGAGCCTCTTTGTAGGTCATTGCCCTTTATTCTATCATTTATCAGATTCTCCTCCTTAGGAATCTCTGAATGGGTGCCCATCTACTCTGATGGATTCCTTTTCCCAAACCTAACATAATGCTGAATAATATCCAGTGGAAAACTAGACTCAAATTCAATTAGAATCTAGAAAGATGTCTTTGGTAAATAACAATCTCATGCATGAGAATTTTGGTTCGGCCATAACTGGACATTGGGTTTAAAGGAATTTCTGTTAAAATTGTTTCAAGTTATGGGATGATTCCATGTGTTAACTCTTACATTTAAGGTTTTATTTCTGATTCATGGGATGACCAAAGAAACAGAGATTTTGTGTTCTGTTGAAGTAATCTATTGTGTTCTGTTAATGTCTCTGTTAAGTTCTAATTGTTTAAAAACAGCTAACAATTTTTTATTAAGAGTTATGGTTTGTTTGAATATATACTTATTCTAAAGAATTTGAGTAATCACTTTGTAACAGGGATCAGATCTGGATTATATTATGTCATGATGTTAAGGGAGCCTGTTTCTACCAGATATTTTAAGCCTTCTTAGCATCTTTGACAGGCATTCAAAAAATCAAAGTTCCTAGTTCTTTGGGCTTTGATATTTCCAGTTGGGCCCTGTAAAAGGATATATTTCTCGTCTTGAAGAGACACCAACTAATAAGGCTATTTGGATTATATTATAGATACTGTCAAGATGTGAAGTGGTGCTAAATTTTAAGTTATGATAATATAAAATTCTACTGATACAAATGTCCAAAAGTTACAAAAGTCTAATGTTCTTGTGTTATCAGACATGATGGTTACCTTAATGAGAAAGGCCCAGAGGCCTAAGAGGGATGTTTTATAAAATCTTACAAGTGCTTTCAAAAATACTTTGTGGAGTAAGCAATTACCTCTTCTTGTTGGTTAATGAGCTTATAATTTTAAACATGGTTAAATCTTGTCACCAACAGTTTTGTATTCTCCAAACACTAGAAGTCAGATTTACTACTCATGGAAGTTAAAACATTGTTGGTTCTATGTTTAAATGTGCCTTCTTTTAGGTTCCAAAGAACTTATTTTTCCCTGACCTCTATTGTATTAAGTACTTTGGGACAATTCGGTAAGCAGATCAAGCCAATAATGGACTGCAAGTTCCAACTGAGAAAAAGTGTGGTTAATTCAGGTTGCTAGGAGCAGGAAATAATTCCAATAGATTGATGGTAATTTAAAAAAAAGATTAAAGATTTTAAGAAGCT